ATTAGCTAAAGACGTTGTAGGTGAGTAACTCACCAATTACGGAAATCACCAAACTACATCACGATGCAAGTGTTAACTTGAAATCGTGAAGGGAAACGAAAAAGTGGAAGTGGAAATAATCTACTTCCAATATAATATTATATAAAACATAATATTAAGAAATGATATGCAATGACCGAAGTTGATCATGGTAAAAATTATTTTAATATTATTTTAATATTACCCATTTTATTACATATGTTAACAGGTAAGGCTAATGTGAAATACTTTATTTTGAAAGTGAACAGATTGATTAATTCTTATGGTAAATTTTAGGAATTGTTTGTTTACTTTTAAATGTTAAGTAATATCTTAATGCTCAATAAATGCACTGGTTTAAATTTTATTCATTTACTTTAGATTAAACTTCGTGATACAACAATTAAATTCAAACAACTTTCATTCGATGATTTAATTGTCAGTTCAACCTTTAATCATCACTTAATGATATATAAAGTAATAATTGTATGAATAATATTCAATTCAGGAATATTTCACACCAAAAAATTAATTTTTGTCAGGTTATTACTGAACATAAAAAATCATAAAACAGTGTGCTTGTTCTATTATATGACTTCTAAAAATTACACCAGGGATTCGAACCCATGAGTTTCAGGTCCTAGAGTAATTATCTCAGTTTTAAACGAATAAGTTACCATAAAACCAATTATATTTCCAAATTTAGTTGGTTCCTATGATAATAAATAGTTTACGAATAGAAACATTTCCGTAAATCTCTCATTATGATAACCATCGGTTTATCACTAATGACTGACTTCAAGATGAATTATTTGAAGTCGAGTGATAAGTGATTATTAGAGATCAATATTCTAACAGGTGATACAGTTGTTATCGATATACATAGGTAGTGATCAGACAATATCATTATAAATTGCCTGTATATTTAATAAACATAGAATTCTTTTCAAATTTATTTCAACTTAATTACTCGTTATAGCATGTACACTTTTGACTGTTTGAATCCTAAATATGTTTTCAGTCACTTAAACAAGTTGAAATACTTCTGTTTATTTATAATACGTCATTTCGTCCAATCAAATAAGGAGAATCATTGTTCGTTAGTTTACTGCGCAGTATTTCGTGACTTAGATGCACAAATGTATGGTCGAATTACTTTATAATTTAGGCATTTATTCAACTGGTCATTGTTGATGATAAACTCTTGAAACAAGATTTACTTACAGTTTCTAGTTCATCATAGAATACTGTCAAATATTTTGTAAATGTAATTATCTTATGGTTGGATTTATTGTGCTTAGATAAATAAATCTACAGAATTTAACTTACCTGCTTAGAAATAAAATTCTCTCATTTTTAAATAAACGCAATTCCTGAGCAAGTATAGTCTATATGCATACCGGTAGCATATAATTTTCCACCCATGTATACCTTGACATTCACATAGGTATATTTACCCCGTGAGCAGAGATACGTTACATTCACACCGGTAACACATGTTTTCATTCATCTATCTCATAGCATACACATATGTATATTCAACTACTTGGGAGTGAAGATGGACACCACTACCTTAAAAACATGTTTTCAACAACCGACTGTCACTTAAGCATCACATGCATATCACTGGTACAAAGGCTTTCGCCCCTACACTTCATGACATACATATAGGCACAAGCACTATTTCAGGTAACATTAATGGTCACATCTCCCTAGTATTTGCTACTAACTCTTTTTATAATACCTTCAACCTAAAGGATTAGGCCAATCATTTTATTGAACATAGGGAAGGCATTATTCATCTTGAGTCCCTTTTGCTAGCCTACGCGCATACTCATTGCATATACTTGCATACATAGATCCCACAAACCGAAACTCATACAATTCTTACACATAAGCGTACACACTGGGCAGCCGCGAGCCGTGAGAATGAAACCCATTTAATCTTGTTTACAGCAGAGTAGTGGGTTAGTCCGATCACCGACCGCTCAGCTTATCTAACAAGGTTGCTCCTACTACCTAGAAGACTTATATGGAAGCCTCAGGTCGGATTTTGCTGTCTTTTTGTATATTATTCCACACTACTTAATGCTGAAAAAGTAGTCCGAAATATTGAAGCATCCTGGATATGAAATTATTTAACTTCAGCCAACTAATCTACTTGGTTACTTGGAAATTTCATATTATTGTTTAAATCACATAAGAATTTGTTCTTTAATTTCTCATTTACTTTTCAATGTACTCCATGTTTTGTCTGTCTTTAAACAAGTCAGTTATATTTGAAGATAACATCTGATTGGTTCTTATTTATTAATGATATTATTCGTTGGCACAACCTTTTGCTTTGCAGTTCATGATGTAGTTTTTTTTATTATTTATTTATCTGTAGAGAAAACGAGATCTAAATACCGTGGCTGATAAATACTCATCTCATGATTAAGTGTTTTGATATTCTGTTTGTTTGAGTAACAGATATCATAGAAGTTGTTTGGGTAACAATCAGTTTAGTTAGACGACAAACTGCTTTGATGATAGATGGTGCTAGTCAGTAGGCAAGAATCCCTGAACCTAAGTTTTTTATTAGATGGAACTTAACAACAAGGTTTTCATCAGTGATTTTGAAGTAACTAATACTAACGCGTACTATCTAAGGTTCAAGGTTTCCTGTACATCTCCTCCAACCATCTAACATCAAAATATTGTGTACAGGATAGGGAGTCACCTATGCCAGTAATTACATTGAAACGTAATCGATAAAGCTGGTGTGGCTCAAAAGAACACATGAATATAAAATTGGCTACTTCTTAGTGACCTGTTAGTTTAAATGTTACTGTTTATCACAAGTTATTATAGAAACCTAAAAATCTCTTAAATTCTTTGTCCACTAATCAATTTAAAAACGTATGTTATTTGTAGACCTAATTGGCCAGTCAAACCAATCGATAATGAATTTAGAATCTTTCTAGGATATTCGAAAAGACTACGGTCACCAGAGTTCATACACATTAATGTTCATTTCGGTTCACAGACTAGTGGTTGAAATGTAGATGTCTGATTTTTCTTGATTTCAATTTTAAGTTTAGATATATTATTTTTTCTTTTGAAAAGTTGGACAAATTGAATTCGGCAATACTTAAAATATCGAAATAATGACAAATCTACTATTATACAGAAAATAACATAAACCTGAAGCTGTAAGTTGCAAGATGAACGTTCAGTAGGATTTTTAAACAGTTCAAACGTTTGACAATTGCAAATCTTATAACTTTTTCTTAGTTATGATCGAGCACTATCAATGACTTCGCATTGTAAACATCATACTCTAATATTTTAATTCATTCGCTATTAAATAGTCTGCTTATTTTTCGCGAAGCTATGAACGACAGGTTCTGATCTCAAAAATCATAAACGTAGAAATTGTTGTGCCCCGATAAACATAATGAATGGTAACTTTGGGGATCCATTTATGGACCAATACTATGCGTATATTTTTATCGTATAATTGGTAAATAACTAAACTATTCATAAACATGTCCCTCATATTATGAGCTTTATTCTGACCTATGAACTATTATTCTATGACTTACCATTCTTATGCCCTGTCTATTAATTACTACCTCTCCCATCCACAGCCAAATTTGACTAATTCTTGTACAAATGTTGTTTCCTACTTTGTGGTAGGAGGTGGTCTGTCTGGTTGGTATATAAACCCAGTGTGCTTGAAATAAATGATTCATATTTCAGAGGGTGAAATTGGTGTTCTGGACTTAACTGTCTGGGCTAGGTAGTAAGCAGGATCGATAAGTACTCTAGACTGCTCGCACGGGTTTTAGGAGTCATTGGTCTAATAGATAATTTACTGTTTTCTAATTGGCGATATTATCACGTTATACGATAACAGGGCTCACAGGCTACAAGTTATAACAGAAATAATATCTGAACATTGAAGAGATTAGTGCATACTGAGGTACTGAAACTCACACTGTGGTTTCGTTATAACAGATACCCAAGTAACTTTCATTGTGTGCACACTCTAGTTCTAAACATTGTTAGTCATAGGTCCAGTAATTACTTGTTAGTATTTAAAATCATGTGAAAGACTGATCATGTACATAAGGTTATTTAACATCATAATGCAGGGAAACACGCTAAGACGATGTGGAAAAAATTCAAAATTGAACACAATAAACATCAACATGGTTGTTCCAGCATTCTCGTATATAACGTCACTAATTTAAAAGACAAAAATTTCCATTAAAATCATTCCTACATTTACGACACATAAATGTACTTTAGACTCAAGTAATTAATGAAAAGAGAAATACTATTCAGTTTAATTTCGTTGGCTTTTAATGAATAAGATTATGTGTGTTTATGTATCTTCCATACAATCTTGAATACATAGAAGAGAATAAACAAAACAGACAACAACCGAATAGTTTCGTTGAGATGACTTTGTTGTCTGTTAGTTCTAATTAAAATTAGATAAAATAATAAAGGATTGTTTTCAACCAGAAGTGCTTAGACTTTACTCACAAAGGTCATGTAATTACGCATCACTGAATTTTTAAAATATTTCATGATAATTAAAGCAAAACTAACAATGGAATCTTGTCAGTTATCCGCATAATTTTAACTCATTATTATAATAATTATTTACTGTTTAGCTCATTTTCATATGAGTTCCGATGAGATATATAGTAAAATGTGTGTCATAAATGGATATTGTATATGTTCTCAATGTTGTTTCAAAGTACACGAAACACAGTGAACGGTAAGTAGGATACGTGTACACTGCTTGAGAATATTGGTCACCTCAACTCAGTCGAGTTCCAAGGTGGAATGACATTTATTGTCAAATGTTAAAATGACTACAAAATTCTTCGTCTCTAACAACCATCGAAATACCTACATCAGATAGCGTAAGCGAACGTATCAGTGTAATATCTTTCAAACTCCCAAATATTTTATTCAAAAATCATTTACTGTCAGATTAGTAATTTATTGGGATAATTTAATTGAAGGCAAACAAATATTGTGGATGAATAAAATAATAAGAGAATGGCAACATGTTTTGCACATACACAATAATTAATTAAACAACGTTGAGAGTTTTTATAATCATGGACTGTCGGTTGTCCAAACGATCAGCTTCACATCATCATCATCATCATCATTGAGGCATGTATTTAAGCTGTGGAGAAGAAAAGGAAAGGACAGACGATTACGTGACATGGGTAATAGTATGAATGAGTATTTATGATTAATTCTAAATGAACGAGTGTCGATAACCGAACAGCACACATTCTGAGTGAATGACAGTTATTTTGTGTAGCAGTTGAGTGATTTCAGGTGTATACGTGATTGATGAATAGTTTGATATGCACCAATGTGCTGATAACTAACTGTAGAGACTAGTGGTGATGTCCAATCACCTCGTTCTCGTTCATTTTACATGATATGCTTCATAATATTAAAGCAGTCTTATTCTGTGCTATGTTTTGATCATATTCAATTAATTTATTTGTTGAGATTTAAGTATTGTGTGGATATAGTTTTAAATCATTACAAAATTAGATGATATAAGCTTTTCAGCTTGAAGAGTCCCAATTTTTTACAACTTAAGAATGACTTTATTTATTGGTTTTTGATGGAAATTATTCAGTAAACAGTTGAGATGACTACCATTTTTTAAACATTGTGTCGATGTTACTGTATGCGCTTTATATATGTATGATTAGATATTATTTCATATGCAAAAATATATTTACATTTCATTTGTCCGTGGTATTAGTGTATTCTTAGATTTATACTTCTTTGCTCTTACTCAAAATTTAAACCCATTACCATTACGATGTGATTCGAATTATTATATCACAATTTTCAGTGAAGCGACGATATTCATTGATGTTGGCACTTATCCCTGAAACCCAAAGTAGTGTGAGGTTTTCAATATTTCATGACGAGAAATAACCTTACACTGGCTCATATACAAACCGTGCTTCTACTAGCTATCTAAAAGTAAGCGTATAGGTGTTTTTCGCAGATTTAATTGATAAAATTTTGTTGATATTTATTTACAAGTATAAACTAGAAGTTGTAATCTTATGAAAGTTACAGCAGCTATTATGATTTTTTTGTGGATGTTAATATTAAACTTTTATTCTCATTTCAAGCCATAAACACTTTGTAATTAACGTTGACTGAGGCTAGATCTTTAAACGCATATATACTTTCCAGTCCAGTTACCTTTAGTATAAAATGAAAACATGGAGATTAAAAATTGACTACATTTCAAAAACATACAAAAACAATTCTGTCCATGTGTGTAAAACACGAAACAGTCTGTTATTTGATCAATATTAATAGCGTCTATTGGGACTTACTAACTGTGAAACTATGTGGAGCGCTCATGTAAACTTGAGTTTCACTGTCCATATGACTTGGGAAAGCATATACAGTGTATGTTTGCCCAGGTTTTAAACCAGGAATCCTCATTTCTTCTCCCGTAGCTTGTTGCATAATTGTTGTATCTCCATATAAGTTAAATACTAGCATTTTCTTTTTGCAGTTCTCTCGATCTTGAAGCTTCCAACGCAACGTTACGAATGGTGAATCACTGGATTCAGAAACGATATCTGAAATCCTAGGTGCATCTGATCCGGAACCCAAAAAAATAAACAATGGAGACGGTTTATCATTTAGTATTTTCAGTGATTGCTGTAAGTAAATTAAAGTATTCAAAATAGTCACAAACATGTCCTCATACGAACAGTCAGTAATAAGACTTACCTAGAGTTTTTTCGAATTCTTCGGTGAATACTTGTCTGAAATCGGTCTCAGTCTTCAGCTTCCTATACATAGTAAATTTTAAAACTTGTGGTATACACAATGGTATGTCACACAAAGTCACTTTGTTTGAAGTAGATACTGCTTTTAACTCCGGATTACTGGGTATTTCCAATTCATATTTATAATCAGAATCAGGACTTTCTTCATAATCGACTTTAAATGTAGCACAATCAAACGCATATATTCTTGTGATGTGTGATGAACTCACGTCCGCTTAACGTTTCAAAATCCCGATGAGAAAATATAGAAAATGGATAAAAAGAACCAGAAACGATTTACGTGGAATAAATTATTTCAAAACATTCTGTTACAACACATAGTAAAGTAGACATAAAAACAACGATTATTGTGATGCTGTATGGTACTGAACATGTCAATTGAACGTCAGATTTCTTTTAGTCAGTCTACTTAAACAACTATGTAAGGAACTATAACAGGCCACATGTTCATTATGGGGCGTGAACAGTTCGAAAAATCGGTTGGTTTGATTACTTTTAAACTGAATGAAAATTCACATTACAACGTAACACTAACTTTACATTTTTCCTCAGGAAGCCACTACGAAATAGTTACTACCGGAAAAACAACATATATTCAAATTAAATTCTATGATCGACTCAATGTAATACTAATTAAAAATGTAGACTATTTGTCTCTGAGTGTAATTGTCAACCTTAAACATCAAAAATGAGAATTACCTTCTGTCAAGGTAATCCGTAGGACGGTTACCAGACCAACAAACCCAAGTAACATTATAATTCTATGTATGTGATCGTTGTAATTTCAATTCAACTTAATATAGATCACATTACGTTTATATATATTTATATATGTTATTCTAATGGTGTGATTTTATTTACTCAAATTTTATTGAACCAGACAACATCACTCCACATTACTTTGTTCTTCTCGTGAATATGGTTATTATTCTAATAACAATTTACTTTTCTCACTAAAAGTTATCATTTTTTTATAAAATTATCATGCCACATAGAAGATATGAACATAGTTTACTTCACAATTAGAGTGGTTGACCCAAAGAATGTGTTGAATCTATAACAGTTCATTTCATATATGTATACCATTAGCAGAAAAGATAAATCTGTCTGAGCTGTTTCAGTTCAATATATTTTCATTAAACTGATTATTGATTGTATTCACTGAGATAAGTTGTCCATTTAATAACAGGTACTTACTTGCTTACGTCTGTTACCACTCAAGAGGAGCATAGGTCATCAACCAGAACTCTCCATCCAAACCTGTCCTGGACTATCATTTCTGGTTCTTTCCAGTTGCGATTCATCCTTTTTATATCTGCTCCCAGGTCCGGACGTCGTGTGATTTGGCCTTAGTTGAAGTCGAAATCTTCTAATCGATTCCGAGTTGTTCATTACATTTTGTGCTTCCTCTCCAATGTTAAGGTCTTCAAAATCCAGTGATTCACCAGAAGAAAGAGATAGGGGGAGGGTAAGCAGCATTGTCTGACTCCGGTCCTCACTTGGAATGCATTCGTCAGCCATCTTCCATGCACCACCTTGCACCGTCGTAGTCCGTCGTAAGAAATCCGGATGATTTTGACAATCGTCTCAGGTGCACCATAGTGTTGAGAAAGGTTCCATAAGGTCCTTTTGTCTACACTGTCCAACGTCTTCTCATAGTCAATGAAATTGATATATAGTGACGACTTTCACTCAACTGAATGTTTAACGATGATCCGTAGTGTCGCGATTTGGTCTGTGCACGATCGATCCTTACGGGATCCGGTCTGCTGATCTCGAAGTTGGGTGTCTACTGAATCCTTCATCTGGTTCAGCATCACTCCGTTGAATACCATTCCCGGTACTGACAGTAGAGTGATTTCTCTGTAGTTCTCACATTTGCTCAGATCTCCTTTCTTTGATAATTTGCCGAGGTGTCCTGCATTCCAGTTTGTCAGTGGCACTTGTTCTTTATCTCAAATCTTCGTGAATAGAACATGGAGCATGTTTGCAGCTACTTATATGTCTGACTTCAGAGCTTCGGCTGGTATATTGTCAGGTTGTGCTGCTTTCCCATTCTTCATATGTCTAATGGCCACCCTGATTTCTTCGATCGTTGATGGAGTGACATCTATAGGCATGTCTGTATGTAATGCCTCAATGTCTGGTGAGTTTAGGGGAGCTGGTCTGTTCAAGAGTTCCTTAGAGTGTTGTACCCATCTACTTCCCTGTTCTTGAAACTCGGTGATTGCCTTGCCTTCTTTGTCCTTGACCGGTCTCTCTTGTTTATCATATTTCCCTTTCAGTCTCTTCGTCGTGTCATATAGCTTTCTCATATTACCTTCTCTTGCAGCATTCTCCGATGTCGTTTCTAGATATCCCATATATTTCTGTTTGTCAGTTCTAATGCTCTTCTTCACTTGCTTGTTTGCCTCAGTGTATTCAGCTTGTATCTTGAATTTCTCTGCTCTTGTTCGGCTGTTATTAGATGATGTCTTCGTGTTCTCCCTTTGTTGAATCTTGTCCAGGCGTTCGACGCGTCGAAGTTAGTGCTTCTTTGACCTCTTTCTGATAGTCGTCCATCGTGGATTCATCTTCTTTCAGTAGATCCTGCAACGTTTGGAACCTGTTGTTGCGAGTTGTCTTGAATTAGTTGAATTTGTTAGTATCTCGAAAGAAGGCAGTATTAAACGTTTGTACTATTGCTTCCCCAGTTGTTCAGCGTTTCTTTACATTCAATTTCATCTTGGCCACAACCAGGTGGTGATCTGAAGCCAAATCAGCTACTCTCCTGGTTCTCATGTCTTCTATTATCTTTCTGATTTTTTTATTGGTACAAATATGATTTTCACAGATTTAAATCATGAGTCAGTTGAAGCTAGATTACCATTGAAAACACGGAAGCACTGGACGGCCGTTTCGTCCTAATATGGGACCCCTCAGCAGTGCGCATCCACGATCCCGCACCACGCGGGGCTCGAACCCAGGACCTACTGGCTTCGCGCGCGAGCACTTAACCATTAGACCACTGAGCCGGCATCCAACGGTGTTAATATCTAACTTCAACCAATCCACGAAGTTGCGCCACCATATACCATTGTCTTCAGTAAGCTGTTGTGAGATATCAGCTTGATTTAAATCTGTGAAAATTTCTAAAATCTCCACAAACCCCTTCTGACAAATATGATTCATTTGGTTCTCGGTGGTGTGATCCGTTGAGACTCATGTAGCTTTGTGTATGCGTTTTTGTGTGGGAATATTTTGCCGCCTATAACCAATTTGTTGAATAAACATGGAGTAGCAAATTTCTCGCCACTCTCGTTCCTTTCTCTTAGTTCATATCGTCCCATGATATCTTCATATTCGGTGTTGTTCATTATGACTTTGACGTATAGGTCTACCATCACGATGGTCAGGTCCTTTCCTGAACAGCTTGCTGTGATCGATTGCAGCCTCTCGTGGAACTGATCTTTATCATTGTCATTGTTATCGTTGGTGGGTGCATAACACTGGATAACATTCATCGTGCTTCACTTATTCTTTGTTTTTAAGGATGCTTTGTGGATGCTAAGTGGATGACGTGATGGCGTTTGATGCGAACGGTACTGAGTTGGTGTCCCGGAGTGAACATCAACTCTGGGATGCACGTACATCTAGCCGACGAGTGCCAAATAAGACGAAACGCGAGTCCTGGATTCCACTGTTAGCCACCATCCAACATTGATTAGAAAGCTTGTCATTTAATGCTATATCGATGCAATCTGCACAGGATGCACATATGCCAACAAGAGACTGATCAATTGAAGTCATAAATAACAATGGGAAGTTACGAGAAAACAATACCAGGTGAATTTGATGCTTTGATAATCCTGGATCCATGAGATTCTCTCCCTATAATTCTTTCTCGTGCATCTTTGGATAACATCAAAGCGAATATCTGAGTGTGTGGAGCAATTTCCTTTTCGTGACCGAAGTACATTAGCATCTCTCCCATATCTAGAGTTTACTGTTCAGCTTGGGTCCAATGGGTTTTGAGAACTGATTGCAAGTACTGCTAGTTTGTTTCTCCTCATTTCCGTTGCTATTTGACTGGTCTTCTCGGCCCGTCACATTGTCCGGACATTCCATATACCTATAAAAATTGTTACTCTGGTTGTTTGAAGGAGAATCCGCCTCAGAACTTCGGAAGGATTTCGGCTTTCATCATGAGGTGTCATAACTCTTCTAAACCAAGACCTTCCAACGTCCAGGATGGTGTTTGAATAGTTTGAATTGTTTTTTCTGGTTGGCGTTTTTGGCGAGTTAGTTTTCTGCGGGATAGGGTCGCTTACCCCATGTCCAACCCTCCTCTTTTGTGCGTGATCAAGACCGGCGGTAAATCTAGATGAGCTAGAGGTAGAGCTGCTTAATAACAGATACTATCTATATGAGTGCTGTTACGATATTTTCACTAAGAAGTCTAAATTTCCATCGATATCAAACCGTCGTCAGTCTTAAAATATTCAGAAACAAGATAAGTGTCAAGGCAAACAGTGTCTTCCAACGATATAATATTTTGTTTATCTAAGTATTAGTATTACTTAGATATTCTCGTGTTTGTAATAAACGAGAAATGCTTGGTAAATGATTGCATGTTTTACATATATTTCAACAGAATACATTCAAGTGCGTTCACGGTTTTGTCATGTTTTGAATTGATAGGCTAATCGTTAATACAAAAGTTTGTTTTGAATAGAACGGGAATTTTTAATTTGTTAACTATAATTTAATTATATCAATTGTTGTCTTTGAGTCTTGATACGATCAAGTAGTTAACAGTTGGATATTAATTCAAGTGGTGATCTATTTTGCATTGTTTGAAATTTGATGAATGGTTGTAAGAAATATCAAAGAAGATAAATTTGTAACTTGTTTGATTACATTAATCAAGAATAATGGCTACAGCTCACTAAGAAAAACCTGGCTTTTCCTGACCGAGCAATGTCATTACACTATTATTTTGTAAGCCTTATGAAAACTAATAACTTTTACTGTAAAGAAAAAGCGACATTGCATACAAACGATGACTAGTGGATTATTCATTTCAGATGTGGACATCTAGAGCAGCCGGTAAAATACAAATTCTGTGATCAGCTTTATACTTAACTGTTTAATAGCTTAACAGTAGGGTTTAATATATTTAACCAAGAATATAAGCAGATGCACCCACCAAAATGTTCATTTAAAGAGGTGACAGCTGTTTACATAAATTACAAATCTTCTAATGTACTTGAATTTCAGTTCATGAATATACCAAGTAACTTTTAAAATTGATTCGATCAAACGTAGACTCATAGCCATAAGACTGTTTATTTAATTGATAAATAATATATTCTCATGAAAATTCACCAAGTCATCAAGGAAATTACTATCTTCTCATTGAGGTGAAGGGTTGACTGGGTATATTAAGTCTATTTGTTGTAGTGAATATTCATTTTACTGCATGTTAAGATAAAGTTCCTCATCCAGATGTGATTAGTAATGTTGACACTTTCGTTAATGCTTTCATTAACTACAACATCGTATCAAAAATCTTGCATCCAAAAAGGGTTGCACCCACCTATTGGATCAATTCGCAGTTCTATGATTTCGTTGCTGTAAAATATATTTGGGTTCAATACTTAAAATTGTTAGTTTCGAATAGAGTTATCTAACCCACTGAAGTTTTTATATCACGTATCATTGGAAATAAACCACCGAGGTTTGGATGCTGAATAACAAAAATCTTCATTTTTCATTTATGATTTAGGAATCTCTCTTGACCGACAATAGTTCATTTATATTTGTTCCGAAGCACAACTACAAATGAAAAGTGGAAACATTTTCCAAAGATTATTCAAAAACTCAATTGCTCTGTGATTAAAGTGCGAACCATTCTCCACTGTTTCTAAACATCCTTATTCTAATGGTTATGGAGAAAATTACGTTAGGATTGTAAAAACCGTTATAAATTTGTTTTCTACAAAATACAAAGAGTTGGAAAGAAGAGTAAATACATTTTCTCAATAATACAGAAATACCGAGGATTTACTCAACTTATCGAAAGGAAGGACTATTCGTCCGGATATAATGTGATTCCAATTTATAGGCATTACCTACCCGAGCGAAAATGATTCTTGACCACCAACTGGATTGTTTGTCAATGAATGTCAGGAGACCATGTATATGAAGAGAGGAGAGTACGTATATTCCTACTTCAATTGTTAATTATAAAACTAAAGATTTCATTTTAGACAATTTAGAAGTGACTTTTAATACCGATCCAGACATTCATTCGATGAATGTTTGGAAGCGACACCAAGTGAATCACAGTGATCCTGACTAAAATTTAGGATGTAGTGGATGATTTACAAATAACTAAGCCCTTTATTCACATATTTTCAACAGACTACTTTTGTATACGTCTACAGATTTTTCTGTCTTCAACCGTGGGTCCATTCGTAATTGCTAAATCACGTTTTGTATATGCAACCACTTACACACAATACTACGGGCTATTCTAGTGGAATTCATTTGTTTGACAGTAAAATAGACGATGATCTATAAGACCAGACTGAAATCGATTAAATCAGAATCTCCTGGATAAAACAACGAGCGTAGTGGTAGTTAAGCGAAGCCAACATATCAGTGGTTTGAATTGATCAGACGACCAAATACAACTATAAGGTTACATATGGAGTTACATATAGAGGGATTAGATCCTAATATCCAAATCCTCTGAGAAAGAATGTATCATGGTTAATTACTGAGGAAGCTGAGTTGGAAATCATAGGAAAGATTGTTTCTTGTACCACAGTAAAATTCAACCCCATTTGATTTTCTTACAGCAAATGGTATCTGATACTAGTGATTTCAGGACTGCGCTAACTGACTTTATTAAATGTAATGTAAAAACAATTAAATTTTGGCCTATTAAGAATGTTGCCGTGTAGTTTTGTTAAGTTGTAGATTGAACGAGTAAAACTTACACTGCAATTCATTTTGTATTGTTTGTTTGAATCTTTCCATTGATGTTTAGGACTGCAATTGACCAGTCTCTTATTTACATATGTGCATCCAATACGGATTGCCTCGATATTGCTTTAAGTCACAAGCATTATGAGCAAAGATAGATGGTGGCTCTGGGATGCAGGTTTATCCAGCTGACGAGTCTTGAATAGGTCAAAATGAATTCCTTAGATTCCACTGTTAGACACCATCCACCTTTGCTTAGACGACAATATTTTTGTCACGTGTTTATGAAAAAAGAACTTGAATTTTGTTCAGTTTAATCTTATTGAACTTAAAATTGGCACCTGATACTGTTCTAAAACGTGCAAAGATAATACCGAACTGATTAGTTTATCAACTGGTGTGTTTTCCATTCACTTTAGATTATTGTCAAGGATCAAGTATAAAGCCGAATTGATGAACCGTAATAGAGTGACAGCTTATCTAAATTTTGTTATGGAGTAACTTATAGAGTAACTTTTGTTATGGAGTAACTGATCTTAAGGAACAAATTAATTTCAAAGCTTTTCGGCAGATGATTTATGGTTGAAACTATAATCCACATCATTAGTTTATGTAATACTTATTTTAATTTACATCGGAATGATCCAACTGAGGCTTACATACTATCTCGAAATATCTACAAACAATGTATCTTCCATACAATCTTGAATACATAGAAGAGAATAAACAAAACAGACAACAACCGAATAGTTTCGTTGAGATGACTTTGTTGTCTGTTAGTTCTAATTAAAATTAGATAAAATAATAAAGGATTGTTTTCAACCAGAAGTGCTTAGACTTTACTCACAAAGGTCATGTAATTACGCATCACTGAATTTTTAAAATATTTCATGATAATTAAAGCAAAACTAACAATGGAATCTTGTCAGTTATCCGCATAATTTTAACTCATTATTATAATAATTATTTACTGTTTAGCTCATTTTCATATGAGTTCCGATGAGATATATAGTAAAATGTGTGTCATAAATGGATATTGTATATGTTCTCAATGTTGTTTCAAAGTACACGAAACACAGTGAACGGTAAGTAGGATACGTGTACACTGCTTGAGAATATTGGTCACCTCAACTCAGTCGAGTTCCAAGGTGGAATGACATTTATTGTCAAATGTTAAAATGACTACAAAATTCTTCGTCTCTAACAACCATCGAAATACCTACATCAGATAGCGTAAGCGAACGTATCAGTGTAATATCTTTCAAACTCCCAAATATTTTATTCAAAAATCATTTACTGTCAGATTAGTAATTTATTGGGATAATTTAATTGAAGGCAAACAAATATTGTGGATGAATAAAATAATAAGAGAATGGCAACATGTTTTGCACATACACAATAATTAATTAAACAACGTTGAGAGTTTTTATAATCATAGACTGTCGGTTGTCCAAACGATCAGCTTCACATCATCATCATCATCATCATCACCATTGAGGCATGTATTTAAGCTGTGGAGAAGAAAAGGAAAGGACAGACGATTACGTGACATGGGTAATAGTAAGAATGAGTATTTATGATTAATTCTAAATGAACGTGTGTCGATAACCGAACAGCACACATTCTGAGTGAATGACAGTTATTTTGTGTAGCAGTTGAGTGATTTCAGGTGTATACGTGATTGATGAATAGTTTGATATGCACCAATGTGCTGATAACTAACTGTAGAGACTAGTGGTGATGTCCAATCACCTCGTTCTCGTTCAGTTTACGTGAAATGTCTTTTACTCATAGAATTGATGTATACTTTTTGTTTACTATAACTTTATGATTCTGACCAGTTAAATTGTCAAACATACTGTCATAACTCATGTACTTAGTGAACGTGACGTATTACGCGAAACGGTGAATACATGTTGAATCAATGGTATTTCGGCAACTTACGAACTCTGATATCAAACCCAGTGGATGTGAACACCTTGGTTTCAGTGTCCACGTGATTTGGGAAAGCGTATACGGTGTAGGTATTGCCTGATGTTAAAAATGGAACCCGGATTTCTTCTCCTTTAGCCATCTGAAGAACCGTTTTATCGCCAAATAGAGCGAATTGTAATTCTTTTTCCTTGCAGTTTTCGTAATCTTGAAGTTTCCAGTTAATAATAGCATTCTTGTCACCATCGAAACGTGCATTCATTGCAGTGAGTTTAGGTGCTTCTGAAATGTAAAATTATATTTGTGATTATCACGATTTCATTTCTGACGACAACGATGTTGTCTTAGAGCAGTATATTTAAAACGCAGCAACTACTTACTAGGTTAGCAAATAACTCTTGGAATATACATTATTTGTTGGAATACTTACCTAAAGATTTTTTATATTCCTTTGAGAAGATTATTTCGAAATCGATGTCATTCTTTTTCTTCTTAGAGATCTCGTATTTTAGAACTATCTCTTTACACATTGGTATTTTACACAATTCCACTGTATTTGAATTTTCCACTACCATCCGTTTATTCGAACCCACCAACTCTAATACGTATCTGTACTTGTCGTCCGGATGTTGTTTAATATCTGCTTTATATGTAGCGCAATCATATTGATATATTTTTTCTATATTTGAATCAGTCACCGCTTAACATTCCAAATTTCCAACGGTGAATATATGAAAGAGGAAAACACATCAACATAAATACTGTAAGATAATGTATTAAACTTGATAACATTGTATTGGATAGGAAAATACATTGGATGAAAATAAGGATGATTATTGCGATTCTGCATTATTTAAAAAGGAAGTCAAACAAACGAATAATATTTTTATTAATTAATACTAGATGAAATAGTTTAATTTACATTTTCAAAAGAATAACTTGTCTTCAGAATAACTTTATTTACTTACTAGTATAGGGGTTGTGGAGATTATTAAGTTTTTGATTGAGATCATAAACCGATTGATGTTAGACCACCACCTTTGGAAACCTGGAAGCACTGGGCGGCCGTTTCGTCCTATTGTGGGACTCATCAGCAGTGCGCATCTACGATCCCGCTCGCGGGATTCGAACCCAGGGCCTCCGGTCTCGCGCGCGAACGCTTAACCAACTGGACCACTGAGCCGGCATCCATTTAATTAATTGAAACGAAGTCTTCTTCAAATCTATGCTTGACTATGACACTCAATCTGTTCGTTTTAGATTGTGAATTACCTAGATTATCTAACCACCATGTTTATTGTCGATAAACAACACGATACATTTTATCTCTGAATTTCATTTTCACAACAGCAGTATATACTAACCACTATTCTTGCCTGATAATAATCAAGATGATGATGACAATAAATCTCGGACATTGTAGAAAAGAATTACCTTGTACCAATGTAGTCAGTAAAACTGTTATTAGACCAACGTAACAAAATATCATTCTATATAGATATGAATAAGTGCTTTGATAATTTCTCAGTTATATATATATATTGTTTTCTTTTTATTTAAACATCATTCTGGTGGTATGATTTTTATCGGTCAGCAGGTTTCTTTTAAATTTCTTTCTTGTTTATCAGTGGTGCCATTATTGTTGTTATTATTATTAAAACGTTATTTTGTTTCTAAAAAATTAAATATTTTTCTAATTATCACACCATATACGAGACTTGAATAAAAATGGTTCATTAATTAAACAATGATGAAGAGAAATAATGTTGTGAAATTTAGTGAATATCTATCATTCTTTTATAATATTACAATTTTTAAAATGAAGCCAGATTAACGTTATACAGGAATGAACCTCTTATTTTGGTTTATCGATGCTAAATGAATAGGCATGCATTAAGTTTAATATGAATGTAAGCACATTGATTGAGTGTTAATTTGACAATATTTACACATTCATCAAGTTCTAGAATAATGTCTAACAGCAATACAGACTTCTGATGATTTGAAAAAAGTTTACTATACATTTATAATAAGAAACATTTGATGAATTTTTTTTATGTTAATAGTTTTATTAAGATACATGTTTGTGTTCACAAATGAAAATGATCATTGATTTATATTAACTAAATTGAAGCCAACACATGTTAAATATTTAAACAAAATAACTGTGAATGTAATTTAACTAAGCTAAAAAATTGTAGACTATAACTTATCTGGCATAAAATCTACATTTTGAACAGTGAACACTTAAACTATACATCTGTTTCAAAGGGGAGTATCTACCTTATCATTTTCTTACTTTATACGTTGAAAGTCACCTACTTCTCTTGATACGGTTATTTAATCTTTGCCAGTGTCTCTTTATTAATCACTACTTGAAGGACAGTTCATCATATTTGTTGAGGAGTTTAAGATCTGTAAAGATGTATCATACGCGACAAAATCGTTTATACTACTGATTCTAATTGAATCAGTCAGACAGCTGAAAATATAATAAACCTATTGTATATTGGATAACACAAATGTTTTTCGTAAAGGAAAACAGAGCAATTACTTTGTAGCATGTATCTCTGGTACATTAGTATAAGTTTTGCTAATTTTTCAAGGTTTTATTACCTCATTATCAATATTATTGTTCATTTTTTCAGCTTGAGCAGTTGTATGTAGCTGGACTTGTTTTTCATTTTAATTATAGTTCTGAAATAAATTAGACTCCTTTTACAGAATAATTTTCAATGTAAACACAAAAGTGATATTTAAATCGAAATTAAACTCTTAAGTGTTTAGATTGTTCAATGTACCTTCCATGTCTAAAACATGCCATCCATCATCTTAACATCCACATGCAATTGTAATTATAACACCTTTTCGGTACCTTCGATCATGTTTACCATTTTATTAAATAATCATAATTCTACATTTACCAAAATTAAGTTTACTACCACGTTTATTCCGACAACAAGGCTTGGTTTTGGGATTTGATCAACATTGTGAATTTAACATGCACTTTGCAATTTAAATGCTCAACATTTTAGCCTATTACTTTTTTGTTGTAATAGTTTTTGAGTGCATTATGTCTGTTCAAATAATGTAGCCTTATGTATTTTAGCGTCATCTCTCCTCTTTTTATCAAACCGCCCGTGTATTTAGAATTCTGTGTATTCCGTTATCGTTTAAAGCACCTCTATTTTTGTTGTCGGAATAATGAACAGGCTGGTGATAGTGATTCAAGTTAAATTCAATGGATATTCCATGGGATGAGTTACAGCTTTCTTGTTGTTTAGATTATTTCAGCTGAATGTGTCTAGACAGACTTAAATATGCGACAACTAGTTTAATTAAATGTAACTCTGTTTGAATTTGTATAGATGGTGTTCTTCGATGACAAGATACAAGCCACACCGATATCTAGTAGCTGTAATGTTCTCAGCAGATTCGTGCATTACTTAAGAGAGCATTTGGTAATGCAGTTAGCTTAATTTTATTTTGGCTTCAAAGACTACCATTTCATACCTCGATGTCATTTGATCACATTCTCAAGGGCGACTTCTTGAAGACATTGTAGACCTAGATCCCAAAATTCATGATAATAACAATGTACACACATTGAGAAGTCTCAAAAACAAGACCATTGCCGCTGTTTTTCATGCACAGTTTGCTTTAGAAACAAAAATCCAGACTTCAGGATGATAACTATGGTCATTTCTATGTCTGTAGAAAAAGAAAGCTTTATTTTTTGAAATCCTCATATACTGTTGGAATTTACACTTGATCTCTCCAATTATTCGTTAGTCGCTCACTCAATAAATAGTGGGATGAGAATGATCTAATAATCACTAATAAATCGACTCGAAAAGGGATTGCAAAATAGTGAGGTTTTGGATAGGGAGAAATCAAGATATGAAATACAACTCTAAATGTAGCGGATAGAAGGAGAATTCTAAAGAGCATACGCGTATTTGTTAAATGGCCTGGTGCTATTAAAACGTCAACAAATAATCCAAATTACGCTATGTTACATGCTTGTGATGAAGGAATCATTGTTGTTTATGTTTGATACTTGATTTTCTCAAACTACATTTTGTAAGCAACTACCAACATCCATGTTCGTCACCACATTAATTACGGAGGCAAATCAAACGGAATAGGTTTTAGAGCTCACCGTTGCTTGAAGTCTGACTACCGTCTACTAGTGGCTTGATAAATGACAAATCTCACTTGCATGAGTTTGCATTGTGGAAAATAACCATATTAGGCTGATGAAACATTCACCCAGATTGTGAGCAACAACTACGTCAAACTGCTAATAAACTGAAATAAATGTGTGGTGTTTGAATGAACCAATGATTCCGTTGTACTTGTCGAATGCTGGATTTCGAATTCTAAATACAGTACATTCGTTTGTGCTCATCTAGTACTTATTGATCCGATTACGTTATTTCTAGGATTCTTAGTTCGTACTATAGTTTAAATACTCATAATTATTATATTGGCGTCGCGATTGAGCCTGTGATGGAACGATTAGACATACATTCAGATTTTGATGCTTATGAGGATTACTTTGAGGGGTTTGAACTCTGTGCTATGACCAAGGAAGATGATGAGAATGTTAATATTGTAGTACATTTCCTCACATTCATCGGAAAAGAAGTATATAGCTTAATAAATACTCTGGCTTTACCGGAAAAGACCATTTTGCTTTCTTATACAACTCTCAAGGATCTACTGCTAGACTATGTAAAGTATACAAATTTCGAATGTGGTGAAGGATGAAGATTTCGTAAAATGATTCATGAGGGTATAAAACATTCCACTGCATTACGTCATCCCAACTCAGTGCATACTCAACGCTATACAGATAATTCATTGAGAAGTTGAGATGCAGTTCTTAAAGAACGGCACAAGTTCGGTCAATGCTTGTCCTGTGGCAGGTTCCACTCTTTTAATTCATGTAAATTTCGTAATTCTGAGTGCTTTAAATGTAGTGATATTGGGTATATTCAATCAGTTTGTAGTACTACTCTTCATCTTGCTGCAACTAATATTAAGTTTTGTAATTCTGGTTCTATTAAGTTGAGTATTTATAATGATCATTTATTTTCATGAACGATTTCAAAAGACAGTGTACAGTTATATAGCAGTTCAGAGTTAAGTGAAACTCAGAATCCTTGTGAGACAACAGTTTCTAATCAATCAACCTATCAGATTTCTCATGTTATTGTACCAGATATGGCTTTTCCTAATGATTCACTTATTTCTGACCGAATTCCTTGCAAATCTGAGGAAAATTTGTTACATAAACCTAGTCATGATCAAAAACCTGATGTGGTTTTGATAGATGCTGATTTTTCTAACGATCATTTAATCTGCAATGACATTCTTAATAAATACGAAACAAAACTATTTCAGAAGAGTAAAATCTTGGTGTCATATCAAATATTATTTATCCTCATAATGCATTTGTTGCTTGTAGAACACTTGTACAATACGAAGCACAAGTACTAAATGAGCTCGATTTCGATTACAATTTAGATGATTTCATATCAACTGATGTTTATCCTTATCACAAAAACACTTCTAATGTTCACTCTAACCAATGTTGGAAATATGTTTTAAATGAAGCCACATCATTCATAACCTGTGGATATGAAGATCCAACATTGTTTTGTGGGGGAGGATACCATAAAAGTCTATGGTTCATATTCTAGGTAGCAACGGTTTCAGTACACAACCGACATGCTGATTACACAATCCTAGGAAGCAGGCGAGTCTGTTCCGATTTCAGTTGTTAATTCCAATGCTAATGAGCACATTCCAGATAATACAGAGTCTTTATCCAATACACTGTCGGACAGATACAGGATGAACTTAAGAAGAAGACATACAATCAATTACGGACACTTAGACTCCAACTTAAGCTGTGACAGATGTAGTGTTTAAATAAACTAATGACTCCTTTGTACTTTTCTAATGCTTGATTTCGAATTCTAAATACAGTACATTCGTTTGTGCTCATCTAGTACTTCTTGATCCGATTACGTCATTTATAGGATTCTTAGTTCGTACTACAGTTCAAATACTCCTAATTATCATAGAAAGCTATATTACAAACCAAAACATTACGAAACTTGACGCGTTACGGAAATAAATGCTGTTAATAGCTGATAAATGACAACACCCAAAAACCTCGACAACATGTGCACGAGAGCCCATAGCTCAACTTCATCATCGTCCTATAGTCTGTTCTTCAATATTTCAACTGCCATATCTCCCTTGAATATAATATTCAAGAATAAAACTTTCTTCAGAACTTTGATAGTACTTTCAACTTGGCCTTTTGGTTTTGGATTACTATAAATGAACCAGGGTGGGAAACCAACCAAGTATGTCTTTAGTGAGTATTCGTTTGTCTCTTGATGATAAGAAATGAAATAAGTTTCGATTCCTACTCAGAGGCACACAAATCTGGAAGCTCGTATACTACTCAGTCCAGGTTGACTTTCTGTACATCAGTCGTTGTAGACACCCACCCACAAAAAGAAATCAAAATTCATCTTCCGCTATGT